ATTATATATTATATAACATGTATGTTTATCTGTCAATTTAATCCTCACCACAACCCTACGCTGTAGATTCCCGTTACGATACTCATTTCGCAGATGAAGTAACTGAGGCCCAGGGAGGTGAAGCAACTTGCCCAAAGCCACCCAGCTGGGAGGTGGGTAGAGGAGCTGGGATTCGAATTCAGACACTCTAGCTTTGGGGCCCAGGCTCTAGACCATGGTACCAGGCTAGGAATAAGGAGGTGAAGCCCAGGTGGGTGCTCAGGAGTCTGGTGTCCACTTCTCTGTTTCATAGAACTTCTTCGGGTTTCTTGGCAGGGTCTCCTTTCTAACTCATCAGACCAGGAGTTCCCAACAGGCTAGGCCGCCTGCCCGTGACTTACATGGCTGGCCCTGAGGAGGGCCTGCTCCTTGCTGTTTTTCACCGCCTTGGTCACCATCACTGGGGAGTAGGTGTCTCCTATGAGCTTCTCCTGTCATGGGCAGAGAGGAGGAGGTCGGGGAGCATCTCCAGGACACAGTGGGGTTTGAAAAGGATTGGCCGGAAGGCCCAGCTAAGGCGAGGCTTACCATTCCCTACAGTGGCAATGACCTTTCCTTCCTGTGCTTTCTGGCTGCCTAGGTCTCTCCCTGTCTCTGTGTCCAGCTGAATCTTACCTCCCTCCCTCCCTCCCTGCCCCTGGATCCCAGCAGCGCTCTGGGATGGATCAGAGCCTAGCCCCTGCCATCTCCTCTAATCTCTTCAGAGCAACTCCTCTGACGTCAGGGCTCGTACTGCCATTTTGCAGGTGAGGAAACAGAGGTCCAGACTAGCTAAGTCACTTGTCCAAGGTCATGACGCAGTCAGTTCAGGGCAGAACCAGGCCTCAGTCTCAGGTTTGGCGACCTCAGAGCCTCTGCCCTGCAGGCTGTACTCCGTCTAGTCTCCTTGACAACCTCTGAGCTCTCTGTGGATAGACACCTGCTTCCTCTTTTTCCATCTCTTCCCAGGGAGGCCTAGAAGGGGTCTGACCAACTGCCTGAATGGCCGAGGGGCTGTGGCCCCACTTTAGGTTGAGACTTACCAGGGCTGGAGTGGGGGCGGGGGGTGATGCCTGGCCCAGGCGGGGGCCTGGCAAACCTACCGTAGGTATCACTTCGTAGAGCCCGTATGTAGTATAGCTGGTCCCGATCCAGATCTTCACGTCTCCGGAGGCGTAGGTCTGGACACTGCTGCGGGCCTGGCTGTAATCTTCGAGTTGCACACACATGGAGCCCGTGCAGCTGGAGTTCAGGTACTTCCGGGTCTCAGAGTCAAGGCAACTCTTGTTTACAAATAACCTGGGTGGGGAGGAGAGACCAGGGGGGCTCCTGAGGGTCTCTCAGGACGGTGCCAAGGACAAGGATCCCTTCGTTCTTGGAGGTCAGAGGAACCCCACCAAAGAGCCAAGCAGACCAGATTTGGAGTGCGTGGGAACAGAGGTCAAGGGGTCAGGAAAAGCCGACTGGAAGCTTCCCTGCTTGGGGGCAGGCGGCAGGCAGCAGGCTCCTGGGAGGGCTGCATGTTAGGGCAGGGTAAGCGGTGGGGCAGGTGAGGGGCGGAAGTTGGGGGAAGTCCCGGAGAGCAAGCCGAGGAAGAGCCGTACCTGATAGAGGAGTCTGTGAGCAGTGTGTAGGAATAGAAGAAGGGGTTATAAGGGATGTCACTGCCACGGAGGTTGAAGAGCCCTGGGGAAGAGAATTGATGGGCATTTTTTGAGGCTGATCTGCCTGAGGCAAGTCCATGTCCCACCTTTGGCCCACCGTTTGCTCTGGCCCCCCAAAGATTCCCAGCAGTAAGCCTGCACATCTGCCTCTGAATGTTTCTCAGGTATTTTTTTTTGGCGGGAGGAGGTCTCTGAGGCGCTGATGAGAGTTACAGACCCTTCCTCCCAGAAAAATGAAGATACCCAGCCAGCAGTCAGCCTAGTTTCAGTGGGTTCCCAGCAAATCTGAAGCCCAGAGCTGGGGTCAGGTCAGAAGCCCTGAGCCACACTGCGACGGAATCGGGCGGCACTGGCTGGTGGCCAGGCTGATGGCAGGTGTCAGCTGGGCCCCTTTCCCTTCGTGAGACAGCTTTTGCTGCTGTGGTCAGCTTGCTCCAGGCCACCTGGTTTTCTTGTTCCACAGACGTGATCTCCTGCCTCCTAGCTTTCTCAGTTCCCACAGGCCATGGCCACGGAGCGAAGCCGGGGTATATGGTGACTGGGGGCGGAGTCCTGGGCTGCAGGGCCCAGGAGGCATGGGGGTTGGGGGGACCCAGGTGCCCACCCCGTGTCCACGAGTCCATACTCACAGGCTGTCTCATCGAGTGCCGACAGAAGGACGGCAGTTGGGCCCTTGCGATGCTTCTGCATCTGGCTGCGGATGCCAGCTACCTTCTCCTGCCAGGGGCTCCCTGGAAGCAAAAGAGCCCAAAGAAAGCATAAGCAACGTACTTTCCCTTTGGCGCGCTGTTCCTGAGAGGGCTTCCTTAGGGCAACCGTTTTCCATGTCTTTCAAAGCAACAGAAAACGTCCTCCAAACAAACTCTCACCGTGTAGCTGTTAAGGACATGGACTCTCTGGACCGACTGTCTGCATTCCAGTTCTGGCCCTGCCATTACTAGCTGTGCGACCTTGGACAAATTACTTAACCTCTCTGTGTCTTATTTTGCATGCCCGTAAAATGAGGATGGATCGTCATACGATAGTATCTGGTCAATAGGGTTGTTATGGGGATCAAGTGCATTAGTATTTGTAATGCACACAGAACGGTGTCTTGGTGTATGGTAAGTCCCGTGTAACTTTCTGATCAATAAATAAGCATGCAGAACAGAGATCAAGAGAGCAGCCTTAGTTGAAGGGCGAAGGGATCAGGCTAGGTCATGTTCAAGCCTCTTTTCTGAAATAACCTGGTGCCTAATTAGCCACGGGTCCTTGAACATGGTTTTAATCCCTCTTTGACCCATTTTATAGATATTAAGACTTCGGGAAGGAAAAGTGACTCGTCTAGGTTTTCGTAGCTAGCAAGGGGTAGAGCTGAGATTTCCACGCGGGTCTGTTTGACTACATGGCCCACCCTCTTACTCTATATGGACTCTGGACTCCCTTGCTAACACAGTCAGTCCCCAGACTTGTCCTGAAACTCTGTGTCACAGAGCTGTCCTTTCTAGGATGCTTGTACCCTGGTTCTAGTTTTCATCTTTTATTCCTACTCTCCGCAATGCAGATGAAGAGTCTGCCCCTAGGCAGGGCTCAGAATTTGCTGGCAGAAGGTCATAAACATTAAGGACCCCAGTTGGGCTCAGAGATTAGGCATAAGTAACTTAACGCCATTTAAAAAAGCTTTATGCAAACAGGGAAAAACTACTTAACCAGAGCCAGAGCTTTGGGTATGATACTTTTTAAGGATTATTTTATTTTATTGTGGTAAAATACACATACAGTAAAATTTTATCATTTTAGCCATTTTAAAGTGGCTAAAATTCATTCAGTGGCTTTAAGAACATTCACACGATTGTGCAACCACCATCACTATCTAATTCCAGAACATTTTCATCATCCAGAAGGGAAACCTTGCAGCCAGAAGCAGTCACTCCCCATTCCCCTCCCCGCTCAGCCCCTGGAAACCATTCATCAGCTTTCCGTCTCTATGGATTTGCCTATACTGGATATTTCATACAAATGGAATCATACACTATGGGGGCTTCTTTGGATTCTTTTGCTTAGAATCCTGTTATCAAGTTTCATGAATCTGTGACAACAAACGAAAGCCAATTTAAATTGCCTGATGCATACAGGTATCTTTGAATAATTAACTTTTCACATTCTTCTCTTTGCCCTTTGCCCCCTTTAAAGCCTATCAGTTGCTGGAGAGAAAGTCTCGCCTGTCTCTGTAAGCTTATAGACTCAAGAACTCTATGCTTGGGCTTCCAGGCCCAGTTCCGGCTCTGGATGGCTTTTCCTTGAAGACTAGCAGCCTATGAAGGCGCAGCATTCCCTCACTTGTGGGCAGTGACAAATCCCATATGAATTCTTCCTCAGTCCCTGGAAGGTTTCCCCCCTTTATCCCCTCCCCTTCCCGACATAACTTCGCCCTTTATCTGAAAGGGATGAGTTTTATTTATGATTACACAGTCTTGGATAGCAAGTTTCTTTAAAAACTTTTTCGGGATGCAGAATGATTCTGCAAGTTCTATCAGAACGGATAAAGAAAATTGGGCACAATTTTAGCTTGTTTCATCATCCTTGCTTTTTTGAAATTTCCCTCCTGCTTTCTTGACTCCTTTTCAAACAAGAAATGTGCATGGACCTGTGTGCGGAAAGGGGCCTCTCGGATTGCCCAATATTCCTAGGAATCCATGTCCGTTGGCTCTTTCGGAATTCCTGGGGAGGTAGCGGGTGGTGGTGGCCAGGATGGTGATTCATCATCAGTAGCCTGGTCCTGGTCAGGATTTTACTTACTACTTACCAGAATCATAGAGCATGCTGTTCTTTTATGACGTTAATTAGATGGTATCAACGACGTCAAGATGAAGATTATCGATGTTAGAATTTGGGGGGGGTCAGTTAACTTCCGTTTGTGGTCTGGCCAAAACCTGAACCCTAATTTGTGCCATGGATTGACCCTGAGCTTAGTGGTATACTTCCTTTGTCAGCCGGCCCACCTGACCCTAGTCATCTTACTACAGGAGGGCCGGAAGTCAAGGTTTGAATGAATCCATACAAACCGGTCTCCACTACCAGACAAGCAACTCGTACCATGTTTTTTTTTCTCTCTCTTCAAAGGGGTAGGGTTTTGTTTGTTGTTTTTTTTAATCTTGCTCCGACTCCCTTGTTTCTTCCCTTCCTGCTCCCTCTTGCTTCAAATCCTAACACTATCTATTCCAGCATTTTCTAAATATGGTCTGAGGACCTTTCGATTCAGACTCTTTGAGATGAGGGGGCCCAGACGTCTGCTTTTGAAATAAGCATCCCAGGCAATTCGGGTGCACAGGAAGGTTTGAGAGGTGCTGCTCGGGTAATTCCCAGGACAACATTTTCAGCCAAGGAGCAGCAGTGGGGACCCGTGTTGCTTCAAGCTGGGAAGAAGGAGCTTAGGGAAGCACCTGTGAATGCGTCCTGCAGGGCATAAATGGGCTGGCTTGGAACCAGAGGCTTCTGTGACCCCCACGCCAGGTCCACAAGGTTGTCTGTGATGGGCACCAGTTGTATGTTAGAGTTTTTGAGGGCCATGTCATAACTCTCCCAGGAACCTGCAGAAACAGGAAGCCGTCACTCGTCCCCTGCCTATTTACACCTCAGGAAAAACTGTGACTCCAGCAAAATTAGTCCTTGTCTGCTCTGCCTTCCACTCCACTCCTGCTACCTCAGCGGCCCAGAGCAGGCCCAAGCAGGCTGGTCCTCCTGGGGTGTGGCCTCCCAGCCGCCTCTCATTGCCTGAGGCCCACCCCAACACTGCCCACAGCCAACTGGCGAGGCCTATCTTTTCAAGTGCCAATGGCCGTGGGGCCCTCTTCTCAGGACTATCCATTTTAACTGAGCATCAGTGCCACGACCCAAAGGAATGGCGATGTTCACGCCATCAGAAAGGCTGGCAAAGAAGCCAGTTCTGAAGGGGGAGCCTTTAGGTACATATTCATGAAGACTCCACCCTTGGGGGCAGGCTGGCCAGCTGGCTGGGACCCCAGAGCTCAGGGAGCTGTATTCCTAGGGCGGGGAGGGGACCATGCTCCTTTGCTCAGAAACCCACTGAACTCCTTTGACCTTCCAAGCTGCCTTCCAGAAGAGGGCTCCCAAATGATTCCAGTGCCATAATTGGTAGAGCTCCAGAGCACAGAGGACGGTTCTGGGTTCAAGAACATCCTGGCCTATTGTCTGCTAGATCTTAACGATTCCCCAAGTCTTCTAGGTTGGGTCTCAGTACTCATGACTTTAAAAAAAAAAATCTGCGTTCATTCTTTTAAATGTATTTTCATTTCACAATCCATGAACAAATTTTTGTTGCAAAATATTCGGCAACTACAGCTTCAGACACTCTATCTTTAGAGTCATCCTGTCCCTCCTTCTACCGAGGTATGCTTCTTTACATCCCAGAGGGGCTGAGTCACCCTTGTTGGTGTGGACAAATGCAGGAATGAGGGAAGAACATACCAATGGAGAAGAGAAAGGGGTCGAAGCCCACACTCCCTCCGGCAGGAACCTCAGTGAGGAGCCAGGTGGTGATGGAAGCTATGTCAACTGAGAGGAAGACAGGAAAGAATGTAGAGTCACCTCCAGAGCCAGCCCCAGGCCTTCCAGTCAGATTTCTGTCTATGACAGTCCTACCATATCTGTCCTTGATGTTAGCCTCAAAGGTTAGGGATGGCTTCAGATTTCCAGAGTCTCCCATAGAGGCCCATCATGGCTTTGCATGCATCCTTACCTGTGCCTTCTTGAACCTAGTCCAGGTTTCAGAGTTTGGGGGACATGCGACCCTTTTACCTTCTTTATGTAGCTCCCAGTTGCAGTCCATCTGCCGCTCAGCCTGGGTCCAGTAACGACTGTCGGTCCAGAGACCTGCCTTCCCCATGGTCACCACTGCAGTTCCTGGGGCAGAACAGAGAAACTTGGAGGTGAGGATGAAGGTGGGGAAGGTGGTAATGCATGGGCAATACGGTGCTGGCTCTGAGAATGTCACAAGGGGCCTCTGGAAAGAACTTCTCTCCTCCGTTGCAAAGAAGTGAGGCAGGTGACATTAAGGGGAGCCCTGGGGGAAGCCAGCCTGGGCATCTCTGCTTTGTGTTGAGGGCCTCTCCTAAGGAGGGACGAGTGGGGTCCGCTTCTGGCAGTCCCAAAGAGTCAATGCTGCATGTAGGTGCTCTCAGGAAAGATGGTGTGGTAGCTAGTATCAAGACTCGGTGGCTGATAGGGCCACTAAACCAGGGGCTTAGCTGAAGACAGGCAGAGGAGCCAAACCCAGGGATTTTGGCAAGGATGGGTAAGGCAAGGGAGCGTGAAGCCCAGGGGAAGAATGTTTAAGGATCAGCAAGGGAAGCTAGGATTTCATTCAAGGGGCCGGGATCAGGCTGGAAGGCTCCTTCAGAAACTGGGACCCCATAAAGGGCCTCTGTGTTTGCGTCTCATTTGGCTACGGGAGGTGTCCCCAAGTGAGCCATGTGTGAAGGGAATCAGCGGGCCCCTAGTGGCTGGATGTGGACATAGCATCTGTTCCAGAAATGGCGCCCAGGGTGTGCTAAGCTAGGCCTGGCTGCCGCAGGGACAGTAAGCTCAGGAACAAAGCCGGGAGGGCCATCTGCCTTGTGCAGAAGTGTGACTGGTGGGCTATGATGTGTGCCCTAACAACCCTTTTCAGAGTGGTGGAGGGCAGGCAGAGCCTCTGGACACTAGGTCCTGGTGTCCTGGCTTCTGAGAACCGGCCATATCAGAGCCTCTGTGACCACATCTGGGTCTACCCACAGAAGCAAGAAGGGCTGGGAAATGGCTCTCACCTGCAGACCCTGTAAAGCCCGTAATCCACGCACGCCTCTTGTCGCGATTGCCGATGTACTCACTCTAGGAAATCAATAACACCATCGTTAGCTGTTTTCATGGCGTTAGACCCCCCCCCCCCGCACCCCATGGAAGACTCCCCCAACCACATCCCATTTCTTTCTGTCTGGTTGAATCCAAGCCCAGGCACACTGGGCACCTCTTCCAGGAAGTCCCCTGTCACTTCCGGACCTCAGATCTCCCCTTCCTTTGGACAGCTGTATTTCTCGGAGTCTAAATCCCATAGTCCAGCACTGGGCAGAACAGCCAAAGAATCTCATCTCCCTGGCCAGAACGCAAATTCTGTGCAGTCTGAGATCATGTCTTCTGGTTCTTCTGGGTTCTCCCCTCCAGCTGTCCCGCCCCTCCCCAGTACAGTACACTGGGTACATCATCAAGAACTTCTACAGAGGGCTTCACACATTATTGTATTTTGATCATCATCATCCTTCGAGACAGATCTCAATATTTCCATTTTGCAGAAGAGGAAACTGAGGCTCAGAGACGTTGAGACAGGTGGGAAACAGAGAAGTTTCCCGAGGTGGGACAACAAACTCAAACAATCTTATTAACACTGACAATGCCTTCTCTTCCCAACAGGCTAGTGCTGGGAAGGTGGATGGGATGGAGGTGGGACCAGTGGTGGGGAAAGGGTGGGTTGGGTGCGCAGGGGCGCTGCTTGGGGAAAAGCAGTTCTTACTCAGACAATCTTGTTTCCTGCCTGCCCCCCTCCCCCAACCTACACCTCAAACTCGTGTAGCCCGGGCCTCTGGATCATTCCAATGCTCCATCCATCAGGTTATGGGAAGGTTCGAATTCCTCCAGTCCAATTCCTAGCCCACACTCTAACCTCCTAGGGCCAGAGTACCCTAAACCTTCATTCTGGATCTGCCATCTAAGAATTGATCAAAATCGATTCTGAACTTGTTGGCAGTTTCATTGCCCGAAGTCAAGGAGATTTGGCAGTGTCTTCTCTCCCGTGTAAAGGAATACATTCTCTCAGCTGCCTTAAAACTCCCATGTCCAAGCCACCTCCTTCCTTCCCTTTGCCTTTTGAATCCTTTCTCTGCCTTCATCTTCTGAGAGTTAAGGGCCTCTGGTTTGTGACCTGTTCTCATTGGTGGTCGACCCAGGATAGCAGAGGGCAAGGGTGGGGGAGGAGCTGTCCCTCACCATGTGGGCATCCGTTTCGGGGATGATGTAGGCAGAAAGATTCTGGACGTGCATCTGCTGGCGGAGGGCTGTGAGCTGTGCCGTGGTATTGACCGCAGTAACTGGAAGGTACTGACAGGTGACAGGAAGACACCAAGACACACACTGTTTAGAGAGAATCATGCCCAGGCCCCAGCGTGTGGAGGGGCTGCCACCTTCTCCTTAGGCAGGTGCTGGGGGTAGGTAGGCTGGGCCAGCCTGGAGGGGAACGGGGCGGCAGCTGATGTTACAGGTTAGTCTAGATTAAGGGGCCTGGGCTGAGCGGAGATGGAGGTGTTGAAGAACTTGGAGAGGAACTCCTTGTGACAAAAAAGGGACCTGAGTCTGGGATGGGGGCATGGCTGAGAACTGTGGGAAGCCGAGCCCTGGCACTGGGCCAGGTTAGAGGGACGGTCTTTCTCGGGATACCTTGGAGGCAGAGGTGCCAATTTAGTAAATCAAAATACAGGATATCCATCCGGTCACATTTGAATTTCAGACAAGCAACATACAATGTTTTAGAATAAGTATGTCCCATGTGCTATTTGGGGCATACTTAAACTAAAACACATATTCATTATTTGAAATTCAGATGTAACTGGGCTCCCTGTATTTCATCTGGCAATCTTACGTTGGGGACTTTTTCGAGTTTCCACTCACTGGTCCCAAATGGCAGAGGGGAGTGAATGAGTACCCCCAGGAGTTTGGGACATTATCCAGAAAGATCCCCCTCTAAGCCAGACATTTCTTTAAAGGCTGGTTTATCTTTAAAATGAAAAATGTGTGGGGCGCCTGGGTGGTTCAGTCGTTAAGCGTCTGCCTTTGGCTCGGGTCATGATCCCGGGGTCCTGGGATCGAGCCCGGCATCGGGCTCCCTGCTCAGCGGG